TCTCGACACCCACCAAGCCAAATTCAATGAAAGTATTTTTATTTGAATTCTACAGATTTGTAGAATTCGAATAAAAATATGTTCATTGAATTTAGCTTGGTGGGTGTCAGGATAGCTTCGCTCAAAGTTTAAAAAAAAGTTTGGCACAGCTTTTCTTTTTGATAGACGGTTTGAATTTTTTAAGTTTGAGTGAAGATATCTCGACACCCACCAAGCCAAATCCAATTAATATATTTTTATTCGAATTCTGTAGAATTCAAATAAAAATACTTTCATTGAATTCGGCTTGGTGGGTGTCGAGATATCTTTGCTCAAAGTTTAAGAAAAAGATTGGTGCAGCTCTTCTTTTTGATAGATGTTTTGAAGTTTTTAAACTTTGAGCGAAGATATCTCGACACCCACCAAGCCAAATTCAATGAAAGTATTTTTATTTGAATTCTACAGATTTGTAGAATTCGAATAAAAATATGTTAATTGAATTTAGCTTGGTGAGTGTCGAGATATCTTCGCTTAAAGCTTAAGAAAAAGTTTGGCGCAGCTCTTCTTTTTGATAGACGTTTTGAATTTTTTAAACTTCGAGTGAAGATATCTCGACACCCACCAAGCCAAATTTGATGAACATATTTTTATTTGAATTCTACAAATCTGCAGAATTCAAATAAAAATACTTTTATTGAATTTGGCTTGGTGAGTGTCGAGATATCTTTGCTCAAAGTTTAAGAAAAAGTTTGGCACAGCTCTTTTTGATAGACGTTTTGAAGTTTTTAAACTTTGAGCGAAGATAAATTTACATACTTAATAAAGCCTTAAAGAATATGCTGCCTTACATGTATTTTACCAGATTTCATTTATTTATTTATTTATTTATTTAACTAATCAATTAATTGAATAAAAAATCAATTAATTGATTAGTGATTTATTAACTAATTGATTAAAAATTTTTCATCAATTTGAATCACCTCTATACAATATTATTTATAAAGGGTAAAACAAAGATTACATGAACTTTGTATCTTTATTATATAGTAGATTCAGATTACTATATACATATAAATGATTTTAATTCATTCTAAAAATTGGATCTAAAAAAACCCTCTAGTCTAACAATAAAAGCCTCTGCTTCTTCAGCACCACCTTTTTCTTTGACATTTCAATATTTGCTATGCAATTTTTTGGTTAGCTCATTAATAGCATGTCGTCTATTTTCAGCTCTTTTTTCCTTTTCATTACATCCTGATAATTCCATAGTTACCAATTCACGATGTTTATATACTTCAGAGCCACTTTCTTCAAACATTTCTTGATATGATTTCCAAGCTTTGGCAGTTAATAATCAGTTAGTACCATAGGTATGCTTATGAAATATATGTTTGCATAGCAACATATATCGAGTTTGAAATAAACAGCAACAATCTAGCAAACTAAGCCCTGGGAACCTTTACCCTTTGCCAACCTATCTAAAACCGCACAAGCTTCTTTTACAAGCATTAATTGCATGGGATAAGAGAACTTATGAATCTTATTGATAATTTCATCATTAATACCATAGACTGACACTTTTTTTGTACAGAAATCAAAAGCAGCACTCTCGGCTGCAATTTTTTTTTTTACCAAGCGCAATGACTTTATAAGCTGCACCGATTAGTCTGTGTAAATGAGATGTTGTTGTTTTTAATTCGCTGTGAAAGGACTCCAGTGCATTGGTAGATGTAAAAGCAGAGAATGTTGCTGCGTCCAAAGAGCCCATTGGTGTGTGTTTTTCACATAATTTTGTCAAATATACTTATTAACAGCATTAACCGGGCAAGTGCTAATAGCCTCTTCAACAAGTTTTTCACACCCTACTTTCATTTTCTTATTTATAGCTTCGATCATAATTTTCGTGTCTTATTTTTGTAGATTTTTGACATCCACATGCACAACAAATGAACAATACACAACAAAACTTCACACCTTTGTTTACCAACACTAATTCCAGGAAAAGCTTGCTTTATACTGCTAGCTTCTGTGCTGCTTTGGTCAATCAGAATATAGCAGAGAGACCAGCGACGACATTTATCTCGAATTAATCATAGTGCTTTTGCGATAGTTGCACTATCTTCAGCACATACAAAAAAATAAAACCCACTTTCCCAACATCTGTGATTGTCATGAACATATAATGTAAAAAGGTTCCAGTCATGCTTATTCATCTTGTGCATTGAGTCTATCAATGTAAGCCAGCCATGTCATTCAAGTTTTTCTATTTGTCTAGGGTGCGCAAACACAATATCTTTTGTGCATTTTGCTTGCCTGTCTGCAGATTTTTGAATAATATGATAATGTTCAGCATAGTATTCCTGACTTCTTAAGTATGTTAAAGTCTCAGTTATATCTATTTCAAGCTTTTCATTACCCACTAAATGGGCGTTTATCGGTTCTTGAATTCTATATTTTATGTTTGCTATCTCTTTTCGCTTTAAATATTCGATGCTATTGTCTAGACTTAACTCGTTTTTTGTATATTCTTTGACTGCACTAGTAATTGCAGCAGGAGCATAATTTTTAACGGCTTCATTTGTAACCAAAGTCCGGATAGTATTTGAACATTTAAGTATATCACTTTCATCAAGTGTATGTGTATGGTCTGGTGAATTTTTAAACCGATCAACTTGAACTATCCTAGAAGAAAAAGACTACGTTACTTTAATTTTTGCTTCGCAAAATCTAGCTGGTCGAATATGAGTTTTTCTTTGTTTATCATCTGGAACAGCTTCTTGCCGAGTACTTGATTCTCGATGTTTCATAAACCGACAAACATAGATTTTCCATAAATCACCATTCTGAAGTTTATTTGAGCTAAATTGTGTCTATATGTTTGTGACCAAAGGCCACAGACTATCGGTGAATTCTTTATCTAGTACTTCAAAGGAATCTTGTACATTAAAAAAAAGAGAACATATTTCTGTAATACGAAAGTCCGAATTGTTTGTTAAATGAATGTTCTCTTTGTTCATGACTCTAGTCCACAAAAAAAAAAAACTCCCCAAATTTTTTCAAAAAAAAATAACTTTTTTCAAAAAAAAAAAAAAAACAATATTCGAAATCTCAAGTTGCAGTTTCCTTCTGATGAAAAATTTGCACTGGCATGAAAAACTGGAGAAATTCCTTCTTTACTCGCTTTAAAAAAATTTCCCTTCTTTACTCGCTTAAAAAAAAAACTTTCTTGTTTGTCTTAAAAAATAAACCTGACAAAAAAAAAAAAAAATCATACAGTATAAGATCTGTAATTTGTAATCATATATATAATCAAAAACTTGCTCGGTTTATGATTGGTCATGCTAATGCACGTGATCAATACTAGATAATCATTCACATGATAGACCGTCATATCACTTAACATGTAGATCATCAAAACTCGCTCTGCTTTAGCTGACCTCTAATTAATACATGCAAGATGATATAATTTCAGGAGTTAATTTCAGTCAAGTGCAACTTCAGGCAAATGTCAACTTCAGACATGACAATACTAGGTGTATAAGTCGAATCAAATGGTTTGATGAAATGAAAAAAATGGGTGGGTCCATAAAACGTGGATGTAAGGAGACGAATAAAACAATAACCATGCAGTTGAATTGAATTAAGAATAAAATTTGTACTTTGCAATAAATCTTAGTCAAAATCTATATCTATTGTGACACAGAAAAATAATTCCACTCGAAAGAAGTGCACAATTTGGCCAGGTAAATATTTATTATTAATATGTTTATTATTGTGAGATGTTTAATTACATGCAAAATCTGCTTGCTTATATATGCTACTTGCTATTCAGCTAAATTTGCTATCTCATCGATCACTTTCTTTTTCGCATATGACATTTCTCTCCCACCTAATTGTTCATTCCATGAACTAGATCAAACCATGAAAATTAGTCAGTTTCATAGGCGTAGGTTTTCTTCAGGTCAACGGATAGGAACTAATTCCACATGTTAGTTAGTTCAAGGACACCCGGGCTTTGTCATTTTTTGATCTTGATTCTATTCTTGTGACTGGATTTCAACATGGTTCATTTCTGCGGATTATTGTAACAAGAAGACACCTATCATTCATCTTTTTCCATTTCGATGATAACATCCAGGTTTGTATCATTCATTCAAATTTCTTTCTTCAGCACTTTTCATGTTTTATATAAACATTTTGTTCCTTTTAAAATAAGTAGACTAGTGGTGGTAGAAAAATGTCAAGATCACGCAATCAATACCATATACTTCTGAAATTAAGCACCCTTTTTTTGTTATATAGGTGCTTATTTTTAGGTTATAATGTGATTGATACAAACTGGTTTTAACCAGTTTTTATCCTAGCAACTATTTAAAGGGGGTGCTTAATTTTGGGTGAATATAGAATGTAGGGGTGCTTATTTTCGGGGGGTGCTTAATTTTGGAAGTATACGGTAATATATGTTGAGCTAGTTCGGAGTGGGCATAAAAATATGTAATACAATAATTACAACTCAACTTTAGCACCCGAAATAATTTAGGGAGCAGGGACACAGAATTTATGCGATAAGAATTTGTAAATTATGCGTGTGGTATGTGTAATATATGCGATTTGCTGATGATTAAAATTTAAAAGTGCGATTTAGTGTTTTTTGCAAATTTTACTCAAAAAAAAAACTTGCACTCAACTAACAAATTTTTAATCAGAGAATAAATTAATACGCAATTTTTTAATCGGAGAATATAAATATGATGTAAAATTATGCGATTTAGTGTGATTTGGTTTAATTACACTAAATCACACAATTTCTGTGTCTCTGTTAGGCGGAAACAAAATTCTATTAGAGGTCAATCATGTGATCTCATCATTTTTCTTCTACTTTTTTAAAATCTATCACATTTTTAAAATGATATTCAACCTGTACTTTACTAACGTTATCTGGCGGTGACATCAAGTTTTTTTAAATTGGCCAGGTAGTAATTTTTTTCTTTCATTTTCACCTTATTTTATTTGCCATCCTTCGGAATTCATTAATCTTTCTTATCCATATTTCGCAGGTTTTTTTGAGGTCTTCTTTCGAAGCATGTAATTTATGTTTGTCATTTTTGGCACAAATCACGACTTCAATTTCATCATCATGACTAAGTTCAATTATTTCTACTTGATGTTCATCACTTTCAATTCCTTTTTAATTACAGCAACAAACTTCGCATCTTTCATCATCCTTTCTTTATGATAATCGACATCAAAAGTTTCTTTGAAATTCTTTTTATAATATACGAATATTTATTATTTTCATTCCCATTTCATTCTATGTCCAGAATCATATATTTTGTCCATATTAGCAGGTTTTCGATAATTCATGGACTTATCTCTGATGATTTCTGATAATAAATAAACGCCTTATTTCGTTTTTTCCAACTTCCAATTTTCATTAGGCCCCATTTCAGCTAAGCGGTAGGTGTGTAAATTCCTTTTTTCTTGCAGAGACAAAGTTGAAGATGTTACTGTTTGATTGACCCATTCTCATACTTTGATGTTGTGTTTTGGATTTTCTAGGACGCTCTATTCTTTGATCAGTTGTTCGACTGCAGGCGTTTTCAAACAGTTTTCTTGCAGTCTTGTCCAATTCGTTACAGGTATGTAAATTTTTGTCTTATTTCAGCCAGTAGTTTCTCCTTCTTAACTTCATCTAGATTTCTTTATAGAATTTTGAATGATATTTATTTCTTAGAATTCTTCATCCATTTCGGTTTGGTTGCTCTGTTAATACAACTTCGTGTATATTGGGAAGTCTTTTAAATTCTAAATTGTTTTGTTCTTTTTTTTTTTAAAAAAAATTTAATCCACTTCTATTGTACTAGAGCGGCTTCGATACCAGACATGTACTAGACGAATAACATACAATTTGTTATCGATACATATAAACTATAGACGTTTTCTTTTCTGTTTTTTTTGTTGCTTAAATTTCTTTCAATAGATTCAAGATATTCAGCGATTTTACTACGTCAAACAATCGGTTATCAATTTGACTTCTTGATTGCACAATAATTATGCAATTCGGGTATTTATTTGATTCCCGGTAATTGATTTTTGATATATTGGAATCGACATTTATAAAATTGATCTACCTAAGGCATTTCTTCTTTTCGATAAGTATCCTCAAAAAAAATTTTTTTTTTTTGGTTTATGCTATGACTCAAAAATTTACCAATTGATAATTTCCTTTTCTTCGCTTCGGCTTGTCGATACTTTCTTGGTATATATGTTTTTTTTCAACTTGTTTTCTCATTCTTATTGACTTCTATATTAAGTTACCTTCACGTTCTTTAGGCACAGTACGTTTACAACACAAGAAAGTCAGTTCTTCAGACTCGGTACGTTAGTCCAGATGATCAACTTTTTTTCAAGACTTGTAATTGGGTGTTGTAATGATCTTACAAATTCATTTCCTTTGGTGTATGTGACGTTCTATCTCACAGTCTTATCACCAAATGCGACAATAGGAAAATAATTCAACTCAAAAGAGACGCACGATAAGTATTTATTAGTACGTTTATTATTATGGGATATATATTACTGATATACTCTACTATTTAATCATTATGCATCGTCGATCGCTTTCTTTTCACACGTGATACTATTATACGTAGAATTAAGGTATACAGTGATCTCGATAGTAAAGCAAATAATAAAATCCAGACAATTGATGCAAGATAGATTTTTAATTATAAAAGATATATATTTTTAACATTTTCAACGTTGACAGGTAAATTACTTATGAGAAGAAATGTTTAAATTCGAAAATTCTGTATAGGGTAAATATATTTTTTTAATAATATAGTCTAAAAATATATCAAAGATGATTTATAGGTGATTTATCATTTGTGGGCGGCCATATATGGATGTTAACTTTGCCGAACCATATATTAGCCCCCATAAAGAAGGGTGTTAATGCTGTATTAGCCCCTCAAGGGAGGGACTTGTTAATATAGTGGAGTTATGGCGAGTTATCACTCATGTTATAGCTGCACATTAGATAGTACTTTTGCCTAAAAGTTCATACATTATTATTATTATATATTGGCCTCCTCAAGGGAGGGACTTGCTAATATACAATAAGTGGTTTAATGTAGAATTTTTTTTGAGATTTCCAAAATAACTTGATATATGCATTTATATAAACAATACATGCTGATATCACTATTATACACATTTTATCTATATACATACTTCTAGGTCGCAATATTTATATATGTCAAAACTATAGTTGTTAGACGAAACCGTTTTTGCATGATGACGAAAGTTGAAAGCTCTCACACCTAATTGTTCATTTCATGAACTAGATCAAATCGGTCAGCTTTTCATAGTCGTGGGTTTTCCTCCAGTGTAAACGCATAGAAACTAATTCAACATGTTAGTTGATTCAAGACATTAATGTCCAGAATTATATATTTCACTCTCATTGCCCATATTAGCGGGTTTTCGATAATACTTGGACGCCACGCCTTATTATTACCTTTTCCAACCCACTTCCAATTTTTATAGCAAGGGCCGAAAGCATATGCTCCATCAGCGGGCCCATTTCAGCGAACCCTTGGTAAGCGGTAGGTGTGCAAATTTCTTTTTTCTTGTAGAGACAAAGTTGATGTTACGGGTATATAAATTTTTGCTTTCTCTCAACTAGTGTTTTCTTCTTCTTAACTTAGTCTAAATTTTCTAAATTTCTTTATGGGTTGAGCTATAATCGGTTAATCTAATAAATTTGGTTAACCGATTGAGGAAATTTTTAATCAGTTGACCTGGTACATCCAGGTAATCGGTTGGCAGGATCGATATATTTGATATATTATGAAAATGATAAGGAGCAAGGACCCGGAAAAGTTCATATATATATATGAATAAAATGGAATTTTTGGCACAAAAGGGAATACAAAGGAATTTTAGAGCTATACATTTCTGATATTGTTAAATCCCAAAGATACCTACTACACAACTTCAAAATTAGAAGTCCATTCTTCTTAGAGGGAATCTATAATTTACGTTAAATCAATACCATATTGTAGAAATAGACTATGAAGATAATACCATATTGGTTTAATGTATATTATATTATGGATGCCCCTTATTATATAAATGTATATATGTATTATATAAATTTTTACTACACACAAAGATCTAAAAATTCTGGAATTTAAACAGAATTAGCAATAGCAAATAAACTGTATACTATTATTTAAATGATTATAAATGAATTCAATAAATATATAGACTTGACAATTGAACCCAT